GAAATGTCAAGTGCCGGGGAGAGTGACTGGTGCAGGGAGATCCACCCAGAGGGAGAAGAGAGCCCAGGGGGTTTCTGGCCTGCTTGCTGGGATTTGCCTGAATGTTCACGCACAAGCTCCAGGACTTCCATGCTCTCTTTTCCTTCCCAGAGGCAGATGCAGAGACATCCTGTCGAAAACTCCTCTAGCACCCATTTCATTGGACAGATTCTCTGGTCATACCTAGAACACAGGGGCACAGTCTCTCCAGCTCCTACTTCCGCACCGCCTCCAAAGGCATTAGTCATGACGAGAAACTCTTAGCAGGTGACAAATACAGCTACATGGGGGAAATTACACAGTTTAGGAATTCTGTGACATTCTAACAGGCTTTGCTCCTGATCTCTCGTTCCTATTTCCTTGCTGGGACAGAGTTCCCTAGTCCCTCCTCCTTCGGGAAGGGAAAGCCATGCAACCAGGAAGGCAACAGAGGCAAATCAGGCAGGAAGACTGGCGCCCCCTACAGCAAAGCAGGTAACCTGCATTCCAGAGGTCCCTCAGACGGGATGATGGCTGTTCATCTGACGATTTTCTTACAATGTATCAGTCTGGTAGGATGGCTCCTGCTTTCTTTGAGTCAGATGGCTGCACTCTGTGGGGATAGGAAATAGGAGCAGGTGGCTAAATAGAGAGGGGGTGTGCTCCTTGAGTGGGGATTTCAGGGTTCAGAGATGAAAGCAGCACGCAGAGAGACAGGCGAGATGGATGTGACTATGGGTATCCCGCCCAGGCATTCCCTATGGACTTCTGCTGAGGTGTGGTTAAGGTGTCAAGTCCCCAGAAAGCCTCAAGGAGGAATGGGTTTGTTCATTCATTCATTCATTCATTCATTCATTCATTTCCCCCCAGTAGTTTCTAGTATATTCACACAACGTTGTGCACCTATCAACTATCAAATTCCAGAACATTTTCATCACCCCCAAAAGAAGTCATTACTAGTCATTAGTAGTCATTACTCATTCCCCCCTCTCCCCAGGGTCAAAATCCTTCATTTCTAAGGCCTGGCTAGGATAATGCTGCCACATTCAAAGGCAGAGCACTCACGAGAGAATAAAACATTAGAGAAAGCAGCCACGAGAGAGGCGGGGAACATGAATTCCCTGTAGAATCTGGAGGGGGCCTGGATTGGCTAAGCTGAGTAGAGGTCCTATCTAACAATCTCTCCTTGAGACTGAAGCAAAGCAGTGAGCCTTGTCTAATTGAAGAGAATGGGTTCCTATTACTCTGGACTTGGGTCAGCCCAGTAAGGAGGCCCTGATGCCATGGAGAAGTCTGGATACAGGTTGTCATGTACCTCAGACCTCATAAGGGCAGAAGTGACTGCACGACACGGGCAACAGGCTACAGCTCATGGAAGAACATACAGGATGCTCAGCGGAGGGGTGGTGACGCAAAGGTGACAGCTGTTATGCAGTCCCTCGGGCGTGCTCATGTGAGAGACAAGCCTTGTTCTGGAGCCCCCAACAGGCATACGCGGGACCAAGGGAAGGAAAACTGCAGCAAGACAGCAGCATTTCAGACCACAACAGGGAGGAGTTTCCTAACAGTTATGCCATCTTCAGGCCGAATGGGCTGCCCATAAGGTAGAGAGTTAAAATGCAGTCTGGAGAGTCAATAAGTGGATGCTGTGGAGGTAATTTAAAAACCAGAGGGTGATGTGACGACCGTAGCCCTCCATGCCTGAGTGGTGAGGTCAGCTCTGAGGTGTGCTGCAAGTGATCTGTTAGAGTAATAAGACACAGGAGTGTGTGACTCGCCACCTTGAGATTCTGGGTTATCTCTGTAACACCACTCTTGTACACTTGCATTATTCAGTATTTTCTTGAGCAAAAGTGGATTGCTCCATGTTCAAGTCAGCGGGCTGGGTCATGCCCATGGGAACATTTTACTCGAGTGTAGTTTTAAGCTCAGGGAGGCAGGGACTTGGCAGGCTAGATGACTGGTAGAACCCCTTCCAGAGCTGAGATTCCTCAAGGGGAGGGGGCACCCCCTCCTCAGCCAACTGACATAATCCTGACATTCCGGGGAACAGGTGTCCCTGCCTTTCCACAGAGCAGATCTACAGGTTGTATGGTTGTCTAAGTGTCACACCTACAGGAGACACTGATCATGAGTCCCAAGGATACATCTGAACTCTACAGAATGGGACAGTGAGGACTAGAAAAGTTACATCTGTTTGAGGGTCTCATTTGCACAGAATAGTCATTCAGATGATTTCAGTATGTCCAAAGGGAAGTCTGACCTCTATATATTTTCTTCAAATAAAAATGATTATCGATGAGGTAAAAAGGCCGAGAAAACATTATTTGCTTCTTGAAACGTTAAACATTTTTTCCTCTAAGCAAAAACTGACATGCACTGGTAACTAATGGAACCAGAACTCAGCCAACTTCACCCCAATCCAAACTGGAATGGACTTTCACTTTTCATCCCCCTGGATAAATAGCTTTGGCAGCAGCCCTTGTCACAAAGGCCAACTGTAGAAGTGCCACCCTAAAACTGCTTGACTGACCCACTCTGGCCTTTTCAGATTTTTCCCTGCCTCCTTCTCCATGCCCTTCTTCTGCTGCTCTGCCAGATGACCGATGCTAACGACTCCTCTGGAACGCAGGAACCACTGAGCGGACGGAAGGCATGGGATCACCTGGTGCAGGGCGCTACTGAGCAGCCTGTGATTTCTGGCACCTCATCACTCTTTTTTTTTTTTATTACAAAAAATTTTTTTTTTCCATTATGAAACTATAGTACCACATTAGAAGCATATGGAAACCAGAGAACAGAGAAAAATCACTTAGGATCCCATCATTCTAATAAAATCGCTGTTTGCATTTTGGTGCGTTGTCTACTGATCTCCAGGGCTCCCTGTGTATGTGGTTCTATGGACTACATGCATTTAGCTTATGTGGCTCCCCGCCCCCACCTCTGAAAGGGAAAGGTGACAGCTTAGATAAATATGTACCATCAGACGGTCAACTCCATACAGACACCGTCTCTCCCAAACCAGCTCATCCTCTTGCCGCCCTGGCTTCTCACTTGTAAATTCCATCTCCCTATCATCCAGGTTGAAACTTTTGCTCTGTCTTGGGTAGTGTGAAGACTGCTTTCCCTCAGCCTCAACATCCATTTCCACTGATTCGTCTGTCATTACTCCTCTGTCACATCTGCCTTCCCTGCCTTCCCCGTGCCGTCACAACCTCTAGTCCAGTTACTGCCTGCTTCCCTGAACGATTCCAATGCTTCTCTGCCTCTACTTCCTCTCCTTCATCTTGTACTGCTAGATTAGTTTCTTTGACTGCTCTCCTTGAATAAGAGATTGAAAACGACTGGTTTTCAATTTTCTGGCACAGAACATCCTTTGGCTGGACATTTACAAACAGGTACCATTTGTCCCCCATCTACTTTCCCTGCCCTATCTTTTACCGCTTCCCTCCCAGAAACCTCTGCTGGGAATCTGTCACCCTAGACAGGAGATGTAGTGTGTAGTGCATACAGTGAGTGGGGTAGGACACGTGCCTGCTCTCTGGGTGCCCGTGAGAACACCACCCAGGCCAGCTGAGATGCAGTGACAGGTGTTAGACCTTGCCTTCGGCCACTTAACAACTATAAAAGTGGACACAATAAATGAAACAACTGTTTTCAAGCATTAGACTCCAAACAGAGCAGGGCCATGAACCTGGAGAAAAGGGAAATACAGGAAGTGAGGTTCACTGTCACCTGTCTTCCTGCCTGGGATCACTTTTCAGACTGGAGATCGGGGGAGTGGACTGCACAGAGAGTGACATGTTCAAGCTTTTGCATTTAGCAAATATTCCTCAGAAGATGATAAACCAGCCCAGCATTTGCTTTTTTAAGAAGGCTGCTCACACTCTGGATTTTGAAAATCTGCAATTGCTCCAAAATTTCTAGGGGAACTTTTCTGCCTTTATGTGTTATGTTTCTTTCAATTTTCTTTGTTGAAACTACTGAGCAACCTTGCCTACAGTTTCAAGGAGGACTCCCACTAGAAGATGAAAGCATTTTCTGGCAGTGATGTGTTCTGTCCCTCAGCCTCCTATTTGCTAATCTTCACTGCCTGCTCCAGTAGAGAAGAGATCACACAGGGAACCTATGTGGAGTTGTACATCAATGAAATACATGAACACCTCTGCAATGTCTTAGAAGACTTCGCCACAGACTGAAACTCCAAGGGTAGCCGGCTGTCAGGCCCATGGCAGTGAAGCCATATCCAGAACAACTGAAGCCAAGGCAGTCCCCTAGACGCCATCCTAGAGAGGGGCACGAAATAGCAAAAGCCGAGAAGCACCACGTGGGAGGGGCATTAGAACAGGGATTGCTAGGGTTTGCTTTTCTCACATCCCACACACTTTCCCTCCCCCTGCCCCACCACAGTTTTTAAATCCCATACTCTTCCCTGCTTAGGTCCATCCCCAAAGAATGTTTAAAGGGCCCCTACCAGCTGCCTTTCATAATCTGCTGGACACATGAAGACCTGCAGGAGCAGGGCCGGCTTTTCCAGCGCAGGTGCAGAGGGCATTCAGCAGGAAGGTGGACCCACTGCTGAGTATGCCTTTGGAGAGTACCCCCAAATCATCCTAATCTATTGGTAAATGCAGGTAAAGAACCCAATGCTTCTCCAAAGCAGAGGTTAAGGGCTTTCTTCTTGAACACATGACACCCAACTCCAACTTCCTAAAGAGCCAAGGCCTGGAAGTAGTTATTCTGCTTTCATTGCTGCAGCAGCTGAGGCCCGAAGAGTCCCAGTGAGAGGACCTTTCTTATTCTCACCCTCATCAGAGTCACCACAGGAACACAATCTTTAAGTCCCATACAGTGCAGGCCCAGGAACAAAGCAAACCCAACTCTACACATTATATTGTTTGGGGAGTATGCGGCCGCCAGGCTGACCAGAAAGGCATGCAGACGGCCCGCTACCCAGAAAGGTATAGAATTTTCCAGCCTACCATCAGCAAGTAGCTTGCAGGAGAGGGCATCATCGAGGTCACGGGCAGTTGATGGGTCAATGGTGAAGATACAGTCTTTCCTAGGAAGGATTGAAGATAGGATTAGCAATGCCACAAACACCAGAGTCTTCAACCCACTGCACTAGAGTTTTAGAGAACAGTTACTTTGCAAATGCGCAAATGGCAGGCAAAGGGAAGAGTAGCTTCTGTCATGGCTCTCTGAGAAGGAGATCTTTAGTCAACTGTGAGGCAGGAGACACAAATTCGGGAAGTTCCCATCTCCATCGTGTCTCCGAGGGTCTTCTACTTCCTGTGAACGGGCACCTACTTCTCCTTGAGCCTGAGCAAGAGGAAGTGTGAGTGGGTAGAGTGAAGGGGCTTCCACATACAAGGCTTCCCAGAGAGAGTTTTCCGACATGAGGAGCAAGTGCCTTTGGTAAATTACTTCCGAAGGTCAGTTCTTGCTTCTGCCTCCCTCGTCCTCAGTGGCTAATGGGAACCTGTCCTTCAAGGATCTATGTGAGGATGTCTCACTGCTCCTTCTCCTATCTTGCTGAAATGGGGGTTGGCCAAAGAATAAGTCATCTGACTTGTTGTGACAAAGGGGATAGGACCCAAGAATAAGTTTTACCAAAAAAACAAAACAAAACAAAACAACAACTTGGGGCCATACAGTTAGCCGTAATACGACTATGCATGGAAACGTACCCAATCAGGTTGTTTCTATGGACTCATTGTATATTTTACCCAAGCTCACGGAATCAGTATGCCCTCTCCCCACTAATTGTCACATGGTACCTCTGTGCATATCTCCCTCTTAATCTGTGAAGTGCTGGGACATTCTCGTTCTGCTGTAGGGCTTCCAGCCACCCGTCCACCCACATAAATACCCACGGTTTGGGCAGTCCGTCCACAGTTCTCCCCACCCCCTGCCTCACTAGCTGGTGCCCTCTGCTCCCAGGCTCACTAGTTGGTGCCCTCTGCTGCCACTGGACTCTTCCCAAGTTTTCCCTCCACATCCTCTAGTACAAGCAGGGACACTGCTGTCACACCCCGGTCTCCTTGGATGCCTCAGCGCTGACGGGAAGCAGCCTGCTTCCCAACAATCAGACTGGCTTGCTTCGTACAAACTTCTTTCCTTGGGTTGCTCCTCTGCTTAAAGTGTCCCCAAAGCCCTCAGAGACTGCCAAGCTGGCTCTGTTCCCTTCTGCCTAAAAACTCTCAGCAGCCCACTGTGACCTCTTACGGCGATCAGCTCACCCCTGCAGTAGCTTGATTCTAGGACAGTACCGTTTCTAAGATGCCCCATCAATTTGACAATAGCTTTTTAGGGAAACAAAAACCCCTACCATAATAAATATATACATTGATTTTAATGTATCACAGGATTTGAGAAATGTCAAAACGGTAAAAAGAGAGCTAAATTCTTAAATGGTAAATGAATATACAGAGAAGCAAACTGCGTACCTCTACACAAGGGAAAGGTAATTAGCAACAAGAAGGAACAAATTGCTCCTACATGTAACAACTTGGAATCTCAAAGTTTCTATGCTAAGTTAAAAACACCATTCTCATGAGCTTACATGATGTATATAATTCCATTTCTATGACATTCTCAAAAAGACAGAACTATATGACCACAGATCCGTGGTTGCCAGGGGCTGAGGGCACCTGGTCTGGGAGACCATAGCTTTCCTGTATCTTGACTATTATGGTGGTTACATGAGTCTATAGGTGTCTTAAAATTCATGTAACTGTACAAGTAAAGGTCAACTTTATTGTTTATTAACTTAAAGACTGTTTTTTAAAAAAGATTTTATTTATTTATTTGAGAGAATGTGTGTGCAAGCAGGGAGGGGCAGAGAGGTAGGGAGGCAGAGGCAGAGGGAGAGGGAGAGAATCCCAAACAGACTCTACACTGAGCATGGAGCCTGACGTGGGGCTCGATCTTAACCCCAAGATCATGACCTGAGCTGAAACCAGGAGACACTTAACCGATGGAGCCACCTGCGTGCCGCTAAAAATAAAAAATTTTTAAATAAGATTTTTGAATCAAGGGGCGCCTGGGTGGCTCAGCAGGTGAAGCCTCTGCCTTCAGCTCAGGTCATGGTCTCAGGGTCCTGGGATCGAGCCCCGCATTGGGCTCTCTGCTCAACAGGGAGCCTGCTTCCTCCCCTCCCTCTGCCTGCCTCTCTGCCTTCCTATGATCTCTCTCTCTGTCAAATAAATAAATCTTTAAAAAAAAAAAAGATTTTTGAATCAAGGAAAGTAAAAAAGTATGCGTTCATTATTAATAGAGTTGATGAATAGGTGCTGGAATTACTAACATTTTCCTTTATGGTTTTCCATATTTTTTCAAAAATTTCACTATAACTTATTTTCATAAATGGAAAAAATTAGCATTGTAGATAATCTCCCCCAAACAAAAATAATTGTCCACCACATACATAATATTGCTTATAAAGACATGAAGCAACTTTGTAGACTCGTACTGTAGAATACAGTCACTAGCTTTAAAATGATGAGCGGCGTAGAACTATAAACACACTGGTATATGAAGAGAAGAGGGTGAGGAAAGTTGGGTGCGACTTTCAAGGTGAAGGACACAAGAGCATTTAGAGCGCAGTCCTAGGGAGAATGGCTTCTCAGGACATCCAATCTTCTCACTAAATAGTTGAAGAAGAGGTGCTCACAGTAGGGGGAATACCAGTGTGGAAGTCTTGGGATATAAAGAAATAATTTCTGTCCCACCATATAAAAGAAGATGTAATATGGCACAGTGCCAGATGAAAAGAGAAACACCAGATGTCCCCTGGAAAGAAGCTCCCTGAAGGCTGTGTTGGCAACTCCCAAGTGTTTGCTGAATGAATGCACGCATGCTGACAGGAAGGGACAGGGAAGTGAAATCAATCCTAACACCAAAGTAATGGGCTCTGAATTGATGAGGATCTTGAACTTGGTTCACAAGGCAGGGAAGGAACTGACTGCTTGTTTCTTTTTGTAGCCCCCACAAAAGCTGGCAAAATGCTTTATATGTACACTGAGTACTCAATAAATACTTCTTAAACTGAAAGTAAAATGTCAGACTTGGAGGAGGGAATGTTTTGATCCTCCTTCCTTAGTGACATCATAAGAAGCTGAAAGAATGTCCCTTTAGTCAAAAATCAAAAAGAACACTGTTAGCTTGGTGGGGGCCACAGCTGACTAGTTTACTTAGATTGTTGAGAAGGAAGTAATGTTTTCTTAAAATTAAATGTCTCTGGGTGCTTTGACTTTTATTTCAGTGAATGAATAAATGATGCCCACTAAAACATTACAGCGCCCAACTGGTACAGACATACATGACAGAGTAAAATTTCAGGGCTTTGGTTTTAATTTGTCAATTTCTTTAAGAGGACTCACTGTTTAGAGAAAAATCTTCGACTAGCCTGAACACTCAAACCAACTCTCTACTACTTTTTTTTTTAATCTGCTCTTAAACCAGAAACATGAAAGTCAAAATTAAAACAACTCTGAGGAACAGCAACCAGGAAGGCTTGCTAGAAAGACATACCATCCAAATATTATCTTTGATCATGGGTCAGCAAACTATAGCCACAGACCAAAAAGGGCCTGCCACCTGTTTTTAAATGACCTGTGGGAAACAATGGTTTTGCATTTCTTAATGGTTGGGAAAAAACCAAAAGAAAAATATGTTTCGTGACATGGGAAAATCATATGAAATTTGAATTTCAGTATCCATAAATGGACATATAGCCACGCTTTTTGGATACAATGGCAGAGCTGAGCTGAGTAGTTATGACAGAGACTGTCTACTTAACGTTATCTATCTGGCCCTTAACAGAAAGTTTCCTGACCCATTTTAGATCAACGATCCCCAGTGAAACAAGTTTTGTGTTTTGTTTTGTTTTTTTCTTAAAGGTCTGATGATTAAATCAGTTTGGGAAATGCTGAGTCAATTTCTTAATTGAGGGACTTTTAGAGCCTTCAGTGTGCTGCTGCTGTGCAAGTCTTGCCATACCTATTGTATCTAGGCTTTTTATTCCTCTTTTTTTTTTTTCCCCTTGGTGGTAGAGCATCTCCCAGATGCAACAGGTTCCGCAGGAGACCGCCCTTTGAGAAGTGATGAACCAGATTCTGCACAGGCCTCCAGTGGAGTCCTTATCCCAGACGGAGCCTTGCCATCAAGCCTGCCTCAGGGGTCATGGCAAGAAGCCAACAGAACGGCCAGGCTGTCCACTGCAGGTAAGCCGATGAGGGCTTTGTTTCATCCACTCTCTCAGGGCCCCTTTTATGAGGGCTTCTGGGGGAAGTTTATTCAGGGCAAGGACCCACTCCTACCCTCTTGAGTTAATGGTTTGTTTGTATCTTTTATGAGTCCCTCTTTGCTTTGGCATCTAGGAACTCAGAAAACTATTGCGACCCACCTCAAAAGAATCTTGTTTGTCATTTGGACTCTGTGAATTCACCTTTATCCTGGTTGTGACTAATTATCCCACTTACATACACCTTTTGCCTTGTATCCTAATTTTAAAAAATTAACTGCATTATATGTATGCCCGCTAGCTCCCTTAAACTTTTTTTTTTTTTTTTAAACAGTACAGTATAAGCATGTATGTGCACAGATTAAGGGGTCACAACATTTCAGAATCACGTTGAAGGGGACACCGGATGAAAAGAAGACCTTCAGTATGGGCTACTAAAAGAACTAACTTCTAGACAGAGTGAAACTTGGAGAGCTCCCAACAAGTATTTGTACTGTAGCCGAGCCCTCCAAACTCACTCGCTCACTATGGAAAATTGGGAGAAGCAAGGGAACAGCGAGTGACCCTGACAAACCCCAGTCCTCAGCGCTGAGAGCCAGTGATTTAGTCTGTGGTCATCGCCACAGTTACGAAGCGGCCACAATGTGGTGTATGTGGGCTCCTGGCCATGGCCACGGCAGCCGGGAGCTGCTGGCCTCTGCATTTGGGAACCTAGCCCCACGGGGGTGGCGCACTGTGCCGCTGTTACACTCTGGTAACATGCTGGGGCTTTTACTGGCTCCTTTTCTGGAAGGCTTTGGTCTCACAACCTGCAG